AGCAGATCGTTAAGAACCAGTGGCATCTACAGAACGTGAAGAACCAGTGGCATCTACATCTACAGAACATGAAGAACCAGTGGCATCTACATCTACAGAACATGACGAACCAGTGGCATCTACATCTGCAGAACGTGAAGAATCAGTGGCATCTACATCTACAGAACATGAAGAACCAGTGGCATCTACATCTGCAGAACATGAAGAACCAGTGACATCTACATCTGCAGAACGTGAAGAACTAGTGACATCTACATCTGCAGAACGTGAAGAACCAGTGACATCTACATCTACAGAACGTGAAGAACCAGTGGCATCTACATCTGTAGAACGTGAAGAATCAGTGGCATCTACATCTGCAGAACATAAAGAACCAGTGGCATCTACATCTACAGAACATGAAGAACCAGTGGCATCTACATCTACAGAACATGACGAACCAGTGGCATCTACATCTGCAGAACGTGAAGAATCAGTGGCATCTACATCTACAGAACATGAAGAACCAGTGGCATCTACATCTGCAGAACATGAAGAACCAGTGACATCTACATCTGCAGAACGTGAAGAACTAGTGACATCTACATCTGCAGAACGTGAAGAACCAGTGACATCTACATCTACAGAACGTGAAGAACCAGTGGCATCTACATCTACAGAACGTGAAGAACCAGTGGCATCTACATCTGCAGAACGTGAAGAACCAGTTGCATCTACATCTGCAGAACATAAAGAACCAGTGGCATCTACATCTGCAGAACGTGAAGAACCAGTTGCATCTACATCTGCAGAATGTGAAGAACCAGTGGCATCTACATCTGCAGAACGTGAAGAACCAGTTGCATCTACATCTGCAGAATGTGAAGAACAAGTGGCATCTACATCTGCAGAACGTGAAGAACCAGTGGCATCTACATCTGCAGAACATGAAAAACCAGTGGCATCTACATCTACGGAACATGAAGAACCAGTGAAGAACCAGTGTCGTCTACATCTGCAGAACACGAAGAACCAGTGGCATCTCCATCTACAGAACATGGAGAACCAGTGGCATCTACATCTACAGAACGTGAAGAAGCAGTGGCATCTACATCTGCAGAACGTGAAGAACCAGTAGCATCTACATCTGCAGAACGTGAAGAAGCAGTGGCATCTACATCTGCAGAAAGTGAAGAACCAGTGGCATCTACATCTGCAGAACATGAAGAACCAGTGGCATCTACATCTACAGAACGTGAAGAACCAGTGGCATCTACATCTGCAGAACATGAATAACCAGTGGCATCTACATCTACAGAACATGAAGAACCAGTGGGGTCTACATCTACAGAACATGACGAACCAGTGGCATCTACATCTGCAGAACGTGAAGAATCAGTGGCATCTACATCTGCAGAACGTGAAGAACCAGTGGCATCTACATCTGCAGAACGTGAAGAAGCAGTGGCATCTACATCTGCAGAAAGTGAAGAACCAGTGGCATCTACATCTGCAGAAAATGAAGAACCAGTGGCATCTACATCTACAGAACGTGAAGAACCAGTGGCATCTACATCTGCAGAACATGAATAACCAGTGGCATCTACATCTACAGAACATGAAGAACCAGTGGGGTCTACATCTACAGAACATGACGAACCAGTGGCATCTACATCTGCAGAACGTGAAGAATCAGTGGCATCTACATCTACAGAACATGAAGAACCAGTGACATCTACATCTGCAGAACGTGAAGAACTAGTGACATCTACATCTGCAGAACGTGAAGAACCAGTGACATCTACATCTACAGAACGTGAAGAACCAGTGGCATCTACATCTGCAGAACGTGAAGAACCAGTTGCATCTACATCAGCAGAACATGAAGAACCAGTGGCATCTACTTCTGCAGAATGTGAAGAACCAGTGGCATCTACATCTGCAGAACGTGAAGAACCAGTGGCATCTACATCTCCAGAACATGAAAAACCAGTGGCATCTACATCTACGGAACATGAAGAACCAGTGAAGAACCAGTGGCGTCTACATCTGCAGAACACGAAGAACCAGTGGCATCTCCATCTACAGAACATGAAGAACCAGTGGCATCTACATCTACAGAACGTGAAGAAGCAGTGGCATCTACATCTGCAGAACGTGAAGAACCAGTGGCATCTACATCTGCAGAACGTGAAGAAGCAGTGGCATCTACATCTGTAGAAAGTGAAGAGCCAGTGGCATCTACATCTGCATAACATGAAGAACCAGTGTCATCGACATCTGCAGAACATGAAGAACCAGTGGCATCTACATCTACAGGAGAGTATACGACGTTTAAAGCCATTCCCCGTGTTAAGTATATATGCCATACAACGTGTTTGGAATTGACGGGTGTACATTTTGGACTTACGAACAGACCTTCTGGAACCTAACTCGTTGCAATCATTGGCGATGTTCTCCCCGCCACGGGGTGATGTTTTTGAGCTGCTCTAAATCAGTGGTCCCTAACCCCCGGTCCGTGGCCTGTTAGGAACCGGGCCACACAGCAGCAGGAGGTGAGAGTGGTGAGTCCGCGCGTGGCCCCCCCATGATTTTATTATTGACCACTTCCGTCCCGCACTGCGCACTTGTCTCAGTCACAGTTTTGGTAAGTCCACAAGCTAACCCCGAGTAGCCAAAATGAGTAAAAAAACAAACGTCGCTGGAGAGCTTCTTGGAAAATGGGGAGAAAGACCCAATGATGAACATCCCCCACCCACCCCCGGTCCGTGAAAGGATCGTCTTCCACGAAACCGATCCCTGGTGTCATTAAATGTTTGGTGACCGCTGCAGTGTAACACATTCCTGCGGAGGGAGCTGATAGGAACGTTGGGTTGCTCGGTCAATGGCCAGGGTCAACGGCGGCGTGGTGTATTCCGCAAATATGACCGACTGTGAGGGCGGGAACAAGCCGGCATGAGTAGGTTAAACGTTGAGTTGTATAAGGGCACCACGGGGTGACCAGCCCCTCCTCACCCAGCCCCACCCCTCCCACCCCCACCCAGCCCCACCCTTCCCACCCAGCCCCTCCCCACCCTCTACACCCAGCCCCTCCCCATCCAGCCCCTCCCCACCCTCCCCTCCCCACCCAGCCCCTCCCCACCCTCCCCACCCAGCCCCTCCCCACCCTCCCCACCCAGCCCCTCCCCCACCCTCCCCTCCCCACCCAGCCCCACCCCTCCTACGCCCCACCCAGCCCCATCCTCCCCACCCAGCCCCTCCCCACCCTCTCCTCCCCACCCAGCCCCTCCCCACCCAGCCCCTCCCCACCCAGCCCCTCCCCACCCTCCCCTCCCCACCCAGCCCCTCCCCACCCTCCCCACCCAGCCCCTCCCCACCCTCCCCTCCCCACCCAGCCCCACCCCTGCCCCTCCCCACCATCCCCTCCCCACCCAACCCCACCCTCCCCACCCAGCCCCTCCCCACCCTGCCCTCCCCACCCAGCCCCACCCCTCCAATTTTTGGATGCACGACGGACGGACGGACACAATCACCCCTGTGGGCTGGTGTGTAACCAGGAGGTTCCTACCAGTGAAACGTCTCCTGTAGACATCTAGCGATGCCTTTGTGTTGTTGTTCATCTGCCGTGGGTCACGTGGATCGAAGCAAAGGGGGTGGAGTTAACAAAGGGGGTGGAGTTAACAAAGGGGGTGGAGTTAACAGAGGGGGTGGAGTTAACAAAGGGGGTGGAGTTAACAAAGGGGGTGGAGTTAACAAAGGGGGTGGAGTTAACAAAGGGGGTGGAGTTAACAAGGGGGTGGAGTTAACAAAGGGGTGGAGTTAACAAGGGGGTGGAGTTAACAAAGGGGGTGGAGTTAACAAAGGGGTGGAGTTAACAGAGGGGGTGGAGTTAACAAAGGGGGTGGAGTTAACAAAGGGGGTGGAGTTAACAAAGGGGGTGGAGTTAACAAAGGGGGTGGAGTTAACAGAGGGGGTGGAGTTAACAAAGGGGGTGGAGTTAACAGAAGCGGGGTGGAGTTAACAAAGGGGGTGGAGTTAACAAAGGGGGGGTAAAGGGTGTGGAGTTACAGAGGGGGTGGAAGTTAACAAAGTGGGGGTGGAGTTAACAGAGGGGGTGGAGTTAACAAAGGGGGTGGAGTTAACAAAGGGGGTGGGAGTTAACAAAGGGGGTGGAGTTAACAGAGTGGGTGGAAGTTAACAAAGGGGGTGCGAGGTTAACAGAGGGGGTGGAGTTAACAAAGGGGGTGGAGTTAACAAAGGGGGCTGTAGTTAACAAAGGGGGTTGGAGTTAAACAGAGGGGGGGTGGAGTTAACAGAGGGGGGTGGAGTTAACAAAGGGGGTGGAGTTAACAAAGGGGGGGAGTTAACAAAGGGGTGGCGAGTTAACAGAGGGGTGGAGTTAACAAAGGGGGGTGGAGTTAACAATAGGGGTGGAGTACAGAGGGGGTGGAGTTAACAAAGGGGTGGAGTTAACAAAGGGGGTGGAGTTAACAAAGGGGGTGGAGTTAACAAAGGGGGCGGAGTTAACAAAGGGGGTGGAGTTAACAAAGGGGGTGGAGTTAACAAAGGGGGGTGGAGTTAACAAAGGGGGTGGAGTTAACAAAGGGGGTGGAGTTAACAAAGGGGGTGGAGTTAACAAAGGGGGTGGAGTTAACAGAGGGGGTGGAGTTAACAAAGGGGGTGGAGTTAACAGAGGGGGTGGAGTTAACAGAGGAGGTGGAGTTAACAAAGGGGGTGGAGTTAACAAAGGGGGTGGAGTTAACAAAGGGGGTGGAGTTAACAAAGGGGGTGGAGTTAACAAAGGGGGCGGAGTTAACAAAGGGGGTGGAGTTAACAAAGGGGGTGGAGTTAACAAAGGGGGCGGAGTTAACAGAGGGGGTGGAGTTAACAAAGGGGGTGGAGTTAACAAAGGGGGTGGAGTTAACAGAGGAGGTGGAGTTAACAGAGGAGGTGGAGTTAACAAAGGGGGTGGAGTTAACAAAGGGGGTGGAGTTAACAAAGGGGGTGGAGTTAACAAAGGGGGCGGAGTTAACAGAGGAGGGGGCGTGGCTTAGATCAGCTGATCGCAGCCGCGTTTCGCGCCAATATCGAAAACTTCCCGCATCCACAATCAGCGGTACGGACAGACTTCACGAACTCCTCTCGTCGTACGGTACGAACAGTACATCTTGTTTACACACACACACATACAGAGATATATCATAGATTGTTGTCACGGGCGCCTGTGAGCAGAATGTAAAAGTTTATTATTTCCCGCTTAAAATTCGCGTGTAACTGTACACGCGGTGTTTTACACTGCGTGTGTTTGCACAACGTCGGCTAGGTTTTTGCCTCTCTTGTTGTGTTTGTTGGGGGTGGTGGTGGTGTTTGAGCCACGTTGCAATCGATGTTGTTAGGTTGCCAGATATCCGTGCTCAGGAACATCAAAATTCGTTGTGAAAGTTGTATTTTATTATCACTGTACCTTCGGAAGGGTTGTGTGTGTGTGTGTATCCGTGGTTTATGTTGCCGTTGCGTTGTACGAATCGTTACCCATTCGTCTTGGTATTATATCGATAGGCGAGAAGTACTTGTTAGCATTAATGATAACAAACAATTGAGAATCCCTTTGCAAGCAAGGCCTTCTCCCTGTGACCGGGCCGCACGTGCTGTGCATGGGTTTAGAGGGGTCATTAAAACTCGCGCACGACGGCGAAGCACCACTAATTATACAGCACCACTAATTATACAGCAGCTCAAACGCAATAAGTTCGGTGTTTGCACGCACTACAAGGTGTGCAAATCGATAATATCGCTGCTGGGCCGAGAGCGGTGGCGCTTCGGTTAGCGCACCCCGGCGCTGTTGAAATCCCAAGAAAGCCGATCGCAGTTTTTATCGTGGTTAACATCGGGTGGCTCTTTCGTTTTTGATTTCTATGTTTAATATAAGCACCAGGTCCTGGACTTGCACGGTGTGTTGGTCAGATGCGGTGGGCCGAGGCCTTCAGGCGTGACATTTGCGTTGACACGTTAAGAGTGTACAGTGCTCAAGTATGTACCCAGGAAACGTGGCACGTTGAGTCAACTCTAGATTTGAAACTTTCGTAACTGCAAGGATTCATACTCTTAGGGGTTTTTCGGTAAAGTCACGTAGGTAAAAAATAAAATAAAATAAATAATAGAAATAAAATAATAAATCACAAAATAATCCATTCTTTTATTTCTATTGGTTTTTATTTTATTTTTTACCTACGTGACTTTACCGAAAAAAACCTAAGAGTACGTTGAGTCAACGTCGCACGTGTTTACTGGGTTACACCCTATCATTGAATCACTGCGTGCATGTGCAGGTGACGACTTCGGCGTCTATAAACTCTGATGATGATGATCATCATCAGACCTCAATTCAACTCGCTCCTGCTTTATTTGTGGCCCGTTTCATGTTTCCGTTGTCAGCTGTTGGGAGTTGTTGTTGTGGTCTAGAATTTATTTTCCTCATTCACTACGAACGGGTTTTTTACGGAGTTGTGTGCATTCATTGTTTTGATTGGCATTTTTTACTCCTTAGATGTGCTTTGCCCTTTCACGCTTGCCCAGCTCTCACCTAAGGTTCCAAATAAACACGCAAAAAACGTGTAAATAAACACGCAAAAAACGTGTGAAAGCACTCTGCATTTGTAAATTGTGCAAAAAAAAAACGTAATCGTTATCAGTTCTTGAATAAATGCACTGCGGTTCCCGTGTTTTGGTTGGGTCACCATGAAAACACATTTAAGCGAATGTCAGTGGTGACTGGCTCCAATAAAATGTTGACGGTGACCTTTATTTATTTGAATACACTGCACTTCTTGAGGAACTTGTTTGCATAATGTACAAAGGCTGAGTACAACGTGTTTTGTGTTAAATGAGCTACACTGATATAAAGTTGTATTGCTCTTAGGGTCTCACCTTATTGGCAAAATTCATACTTGTCAACCCCTTATCAGTACCTTATTACAGACCAGTTCAGGCCTTATTGGTCACACCGTGCCCTTATAAACCTCAACGTTCATGCTACTTAGTCACATCACAAGGGAGAAACACAAACAAATATTGAAAAAATGTTGCCCGTATTGAAACCGCTGTATGCCGTATGAACCTGAAAACTAAATTTCCCTGTACAAGAATACGGCTAAACGGGTTTAGAGGTATGCTAAATGATCAAAGCGCTGGCCCAAAATGCTAAGACACAAACCAGCGCAAAAAAATGACAATTTAGCAACTATGCAAACACATTTTGCCCTGACACCCTTCAGTACTGCTATTCAAGTACAGTACTGTACTTCCAAGGCAAAGTACACGTTGGAAATTGTTTCATAATCCACGAGTAATGCTCGATTTTCCTTTTTTTATCGTCTTTGTAAGTCTCATTTTTGTGTTTTTTTGTCCTTGCTGTCTTGGTCTATCCCGTTCTCAGTCTTCAATTGAGTTTGGGTTTTATTTTAAGGTTCTATCTGGTTGCGTAAAGATGCCTGGTGGACGCAAGTACTTGGACCTCATTGCTGCAGTGACAGAGAACATGGGCATTGGCATGAGGGGCGATCTCCCGTGGAGCCCCAAACATCTCAAGTGAGTGTGCGTCGTCGGGTCTGACCACATTTTACGCGAATGTATTTGTCCGTTTGATCAATTTGTTACGTTTGGTTCTTTTCGACCATGCTATAAGTAAAACGAAGCAGTGCAACTAGCACAAAATAGAATGAGGTTGACAGAGCTCATCGTTTCTAAATGAAGATGGAAACGAACTAAAGAGACAAGTGGCGATGGTGAACGATGGTCAATAATAATAACAGCCTTGCGGTGGAACACGAGATGGAGTGATGAAATTGGCTCGTGCGCATGTTACTGGGTGGGTTGTTGTCTCAAGGGATTCTGAGGAATATTGTTGGCTTGGAGAGGCCTTCACCTAGTAGTGGATAGACCATGGCATGATGATGATGAAGACAGCAAGGAAATTGTGCCAATGTGACGTCCGCAGTGATCTTGTGATTCTCGGTTATATGCTGATGACTAATGCTGATGATGGGTTTTTCTGTCACGGGTTGTCGTACAGTTATATGACCAGTTAGCATGCAGTCACAGGGGCTGTTTTGTGGCTGGAAACTCCATAATGTTATTCATTGACTTGTGTGAAGATGTGCATATTGTAAGTTTTAGTTAATGGATCAAAGACATGGTTGTTAACTAGGACACGTAAACATGCTACAAGTTCGCCAAAGATCTAGCAGAGAAGTATGTTCGGAGTACAGGATAATTTTCAATTCCATGGATTTTATTATCTGTAGGGATATCTGAAAATTTACTCCACTTATCCGAGGGAAAGCGTTGTGGCAAATTGCAGATGAAAGGAAACATTTGCAACAAATGGCACTCCAGCCAGCCACTCATAGGGAGTAACTACTACTTTCAATATTTTAGGCACTTGCAGCCTCAACAGGGTAATTCCCACTTTGCCCCATGATGTTTTCTGGGCTGAGAGATTTCCCTTCCCCCAAGAAGACTTCACAGAAATGCTCAGCTAATCTGCAAACCTGTTCCTGGGGGTTAGAGATCAGACCACCTTTCTTTGTCCTAAGGATTGTGATATGTGTGGGGCTGCAAGTAGCTTTTTTGATGGAATGAAAGAGTGATTTGTGATCGCGGGCTACTGAGGCAGATTCCGTCTCCTCAGTAACCTCCGACCGCCACTTATCCTTGCAGTGCCGTATGGCTCTCCGAACCTCAGAGCGAAGGCGGTTAGCCTCATTCTCTGATGTAGATTGCTGTATTTCGGCAGTGGGCCTGTCAATTTTTCTCAGCCAGCCGTAACACCTCCATCAGCCAGGGTCTCTGGGGGGGTTTGCACCGTGTACCCAAAGCACCCATTGCAGCTGCATGAGCTACAGTTCTAAACCTCGTCCATTTCCCCTCGGCATCAGGAGGAGGGGGGGGGGCGATGCCAATCCTAGCTGCAAGCGATGATGAAATTCTCATTTGCATCTTTCATAAGCTACCTGAGACCAGGCTACTGGTTTTGAATGGGGTCCAAGATGGACACCCACCACCAGAGTTTAAGAATGGCAGCCACATCTTACAGATGACAAGCCAATGTTCAGTGGGCAGATCAGCTGCACGGTAGGTCCTGGTGTCAAGGACATGGGCCCGCATCCGCTGTTCCGTCACAGTATAGTCCAGCAGATGTTCTTGCTTGGACCCGGCGTGCATCCACGATGTTATGTGGATGCGCCAATGCTGGAACAGCGTGTTGGTAATTACAAGCCCATGGGTTGCACAAAAGTTTAGCAGCCTCCTACTGTTGTTTTTGAGCTGATCTGGCCCACGTCTTCCAAACACTCCTGTTCAGGTGCCGGTGTCATGACCCACTCGGGTATTAAAGTCACCAAACAGGTTAACTATCCCGTGGGGCCACTTTAGCTTAGCACCTGTGACAGGAGGCCATAGATGGCATTTGACTCATCAGCCTTGCCTGCACTGATGCTTATGCCCCCACTGAAGATAAACAACCACCATCATTTACCACCTCCTGTTGATGGGGAGGCGAGCCCACAGTAGCCTGGGGCTTACGGCTTCCCATACTTCACCGCCATCCTCCCACGTCCCCTTCATAATTTTGTTCAGAAGAAGAGCCACTCCCTGTTGTTTAGAGTAGACGACTGTCCACCCCTCATGTTGACTGAAGCCAGAGGCAATCCACACACTCTCCCACATACACAAATGCACAGCAACAGCCACCATTCAACATTAAATGACAGTGATGTCAACAAACTGCTTCTGACAAACCAGGTTCAGTTTAAGGCCATGTAAAGTGTCGAAGGCCCGCTGCTTGGAGACCACAAGTATTGGTTGACCAGGTATTATGGGTTAACGGCATGATATGATTGGCAGACGTACGTGTGCATAGCCACCAACAGCAGAGGGCATCCTAACCCTAATTCACACTTGCGGCATGCAGGTGTGTGTGGCAGCCTTAAGAGCCCAGTGATTGGAGCCAGTTTGTCCAAATACATTCTCCCAGTAGTTGAACTGTAGAATTACCATCCTGTGTTTGTCCATAAAATGTACATGTATAACTAAGCATGATCTGATCATTCTTACGTTCATGATACGTGCTTCAAATTGTGCTTTTGCAAAGTGATCATTTCTCTATTTTATGCAAATGAAATGATAGCGATATCAGAGCTAATGGAGTGAAAATACCAAAAAACTATGTAATTGATACCATGCATGTCAGACAAAAAAAACATAAATTCTTGCATAAAATTTTGAAGCCAAATTATGACAATTCGTTGAATTGCTGGGGAAAGGTGAAATGTCACAAACTTTTAAATAACACAGTGAAAATTATCATTAAAATGTAATTACTACAGCCAATTAACATGGTAATATCAGTTGCCTCAATGCAGCAGTATGTATATTGAGTAGTTAGTGCAACGATGTCGTGTAGAGTACATTGTTTTCTCTCTCTCAGTGCCAAACAACAGTTTGCTGGGAGGCATTTTTTATGACAGTAAAAAATGGTTATGAAATGTCGTGGTTTAATTTCGTGAAACAATTTACAACAATCATCTAAAAACTTCGAGCAAAACCTTTTAGAAATGTATGAGACCCTGCAATTTTAATGTAGGTGAAAGGTGATGGGTCAAACCTAGGTCAGCATTCATAACATAGGTTTGCCGGTTCATTCTGGTCAGAATGAGGCCTTAACTGACTGCATGAAGAAAATGTATCAAGTTCTGTCACTGATAGAGTGACAGAGAATGACAAATTCAGTTTTTTATAATTATATTTTGAATAAAGTGGTTTAGTTATACTAATTTTCTTTATCTTAAACGACAAGAGCTGCAAAAAGACACAGACAAATTTCCACAATTTTAAATAAGGGGTCAGATTCACTTATGAATTAAAGTAGTGAAACACATTGTCACTGATGTATCCCATTGTTGGTGATAGAGGCATCGTCACACATATGGGAACATTTGAACACATGGCAATCAGGCCCGTGCAACTCCAGGTTACTCTTGCAATAAATATAAAGCGACTTTATGGGTGCGTCTCTCATGGTTAAATTAAGGACGTCATTTTAATTTTTTTGTGTTTTATTCTTTCGTATACATTTTTGGGAAGTGGAATACTGGAAAGCAAGTTCAGTGGGGGTGTTGAATAGTTGACCGTTTAAAATAGAGTGAATACAATCCAGCTTGGCGACACATTGCATAACAAATTGTATTGAAGTTTACGTAATTCTCACTTGGTTTGTGATTTTTATCTTTTACAGGATAGACTTCGACTTTTTCCAGACCATAACTGCTGCTGCAGCTGAAGGTATTTAAAGCAAAAGAACAAGGCATCGCTGAGATCCTGGCTATGAATGGGGATTTAAGTCGCCCGCGGTTATACTGGGTCTTCAAGTGTAGCAAAATGATGGTCACCGGTGACTGCACAGAACTTGTCGCATTATGTCATTCAAAAATTGTTGACTTAATTTGGATACTTTCTAGCTCTGAGAAGTAAAACTATCAGTTTTATTGCCGTGTGACGAATATTTTTCTGTCGCAGAGTGTGTGGGAAAGTGCACCCCCGGGTGACTAAAGGGATCTCGGAAGCAGTTCTGTGAAATCTGCTTCCACTGGCCGTTTCGTTTCCGGCTGAAACTCAGGTTCAAACCCAGGATCTCAGCGGTCTGACCTCTGAGCCATGTGGCCACCTCAAAAAAATGTAATCTTACACGCTTGAATGGATGTATGCATCGGTAGTGTGAGAATATATCTATCAATAAATAAATGCATCTTTAAATGCTTAATAGTAATAATTTACAAATACCAGACACTTATTTTAAGGTTGTCATCCTGTAATAAGGGGTGGACTGTAAGGCCAACTGTAAAATTCTGTGCTTTGTCAATCTACTGCTGGATGAAGGCCTCCCCAAACCGTGGTCATTATCGGGGTTTGTTCCACCATACTTCACCGCGCTGCTACATACTGGTTGGTGAATTGAGAAGCTCGGGATAGGTTCATATATCATTCGCCACTGACGTTAGGTTGTCTGGTAAAGGCGACAGTACAGGGATGCACAATCTGGTCAGAGCTCCCGAGGTAGAGCAAGAAGGCGAAGGACGGATGACGAAGTTAATTGACAGGGATGGAGACTGACAATACGGTGAGACTGATGTAGGGCCGGGAGAAGTGAAGGGAGGTGCTGAATACCACCACCCCTCTGGAAAGAAGAGGGCACGAGACAATGAGACAACAATGTCAGCATCATCATCATCATGGCTACCTTCATCTGCATTCTTATCATCACCACCATTGCCATCATTAATATCATTATTTGGCCATGAATCGCCATTGTTCACATCACCATTTTCAATATTCGTGTTACTATATTAATCTATATAAGATACTAGCGGGAAGTACCCGGCATTGCCCGGTGGAAAAATATATTTCAAAACGTCTCTTAAAAACATAACATATACATACACAAATTCTAAGCTATTGTGAAAGCCCAGGCGTGCCGTCTATCCATTTGTCCATCAACAAAATTATAAGAGGCTTGCAGAAGTCCAAAAAGTTATAGAAAGTGGGGGGTAAATAGTTGATCCTAAAGGTTTCCGAAAATTGTCGACCCCCCCCCTCAAAAAATTTTTTTACCCCCGCGTAGGCATATATACCAAAACACCCAACATACAATAGCATGCGTAGTATCTAGTGACTCTATAGTAGTATCTGACTATAGTAGTATCTGGCTCTACAGTAGTATCTACTGACTCTGTAGTTATATCGACTGACTGTACAGTAGTCTCTACTGAGCCCAGTCGTAGCTACTGACTGTATAGTTGTATCTACTTACTGTAGTAGTAACTACTGACCCTACAGTAGTATCTACCAACTCTATAGTAGTAACTACTAACTCTATAGCAGTATCTGCTGACTCTATAGTAGTGTGGTGACATACTAGACATCACTAGAGGGTAGCCACAGTACCCAGTGGAAGGGAGTGTTGTAGGGGCATGGCCCTGGAAACGATGAGAGAGAGCGCGCGTGAGGACGTGGCCTTTGGGTGAACCCGGGAGGACACGTGACCGGACGAGATGGAAGGGGCTACCTCCAACGGGGGGTGAGTGGGACACGTGATGAGGTACCAGAGCCCTCGAGAAGAATCTGGAATGGGGTGTGGCCCACGCCGGAGCGGATATAAACCGGGGCGGATAGGCAGGCAGGATCGCCGTCGTAGAAGTGCAGCTGAAGAGAGATAGGGCCGACCCACCAAGTCCTGGATCCTCAGTCTTCGGGCGTGAGAGAAGACGTCAAGAGCCGGGCAATGTGTTCGCTGGCCTGGCAGATTATATAGTGTTTCCCGTGAGTGTTATGCAGCTATCCAAGGTGGTTACCACCCTTTGTCGTTATCCCGTGAGTGTAGACTTACCTGTGTTGTGTTAGTGAATTAAACATGTTGCCGCCATACTCAAGAGTGCGTCTCAATAGAACCCACTACAGTAGTATCCACTGACTATAGTATTAACTACTAACTCCATAGCAGTATCTACTGAGTCTATAATAATATCTGCTGACACTATAGCAGTATCTGCTAACTATAGCAGTTACTACTGACTATAGTCGTTACTACTGACTGCAGCAGTATATACTGACTAGTGGAATCTACTGGCTGTAGTATTATCTACTGACTATAGTAGTATCTATTGACTCTACAGTAGTATCTACCGTCTCTATAGCAGTAACTACTGACTCTGCAGTAGTATCTAATGACTATAGCAGTATCTACCGACTCTATTGTCGTATGTACCGACTCTATAGTAGTAACTACTGACTATAGTAATATCCACTGACTATAGTAGTAACTACTAACTCTACAGTAGTATCCACTGACTATAGTAGTCTCTACGGACTAGTAGTATTTACTGATCGTAGTAGTATCTACTGACAGTATATACTAACTACACAGTAGTATCTACTGACTATAGTAGCATCAACCAACTCTATAGTAGTAAATAATGACTACAGTAGTATCTAATGATTATAGTAGTATCTACTGAATATATTAGTAACTACTAACTCTATAGCAATATCTAATCACTATAGTAGTATCTGCATACTCTATAGCAGTATCTGCTGACTCTAGTAGTATCTACTGACTCTATAGTCGTATCTACCGACTCTGCAGCAGTATACTGACTAGTGGTATCTACTGACTGTAGTAGTATCTACTGACTATAGTATCTACCGACTCTATAGTAGTATCTATCGACTCTATAGTAGTAAATACTGACTATAGTAGTATCCACTGACTATAGTAGTAACTACTAACTCTACAGTAGTATCTTTTGACTGTAGTATCTACTAAATATACAGTAGTATATACCGACTTTACAGTAGTATCTCCCGACTCTGCAGTAGTAACTACCGACTCTACAGTAGTATCTACCGACTCTACAGTAGTATCTCCCGACTCTACAGTAGTATCTACTGACTCTACAGTAGTATCTACCGACTCTACAGTAGTATCTACCGACTCTATATTAGTATCTACCGACTCTATGGTAGTATCTACCGACTCTACAGTAGTATCTCCCGACTTTACAGTAGTATCTATCGACTCTATAGTAGTATCTACCGACTCTACAGTAGTATCTCCCGACTTTACAGTAGTATCTACCGACTCTACAGTAGTATCTACCGACTCTACAGTAGTATCTCCCGACTTTACAGTAGTATCTACCGACTCTATAGTCATATCTACCGATTCTATAATATATATATCGACTCTATAGCAGTAAACTACTAACTTAACAGAGTGCCGTGGTGAGGCCTAGTCCCGTGCAGAGCCACCAGCCTCGCCTAGATTGCCCAGCCGGCCGAGGTGGCACCTTGGCAGGCTGGGGCTGGGCTGCTATACTCCCCCCCCACTATCTACGGACTATAGTCGTAGCATCTACTGACTCTATAGTAGTAACTGCACACATTGGGGTGGGAGGGGGGGAGAAGAGGACATTACACTGTGAAGAATTTACCTTAGCGTTGTGTGCATATTTTTTGCATTTTTCGCGCGAATGAGAATTCCCCCCTCCCCCCACCAATCGCGTGTGTGCGTTGCTCGGGCCAACCACGGCTCAGCTTTCTCGCGCATGCGCAGATGCAGTACTTTGGCGCTCGCTCAACATAGTAATATAATGATTAATAGTAATACATTGTTAATTTAACTACTTTTAAGTTGATGGATGTGAAATACGAATAGCGCTGGCTCACCACGGGGCTTATCTCGTGGTATCTGGGTACTTTTTTTTATACATAAACCCCACGGTTCGTGAGTTAAATCCGTCGCAAGTTGCGTACACAGACACGCAGACAGACAGACAAAAAATTACTTATATAAGTAAGAAGACTGATGTTAACTGTGGCCGGTTATTGTCGTTTTTTAGGTATATTTTGTTTAACCAGGTGAGAACTACTAAAGACCAGGATACTCTCATTTGCAAGGGTAACGTGACCTTAAGCTCAACGCAGTGCGTCAACCACCGCTGCACCAAGGCCAATGCACAGAATTTACAGCATTGTGACTATCGTGGCAAGCGTTAAGTATCGTTCATTATTTTCTCTTGACACCCCAAAATCAATGGGGTTTCACGGCAGATGTTGAATTTCCCTCCGTGGAATTCGGCAGCAATTTATTTCCCATTTAGAACAAGGTCAAGAGGAATATTCACCGGTAATGGTTTGTGGAATTGGCTCAGCAGAATTAAAATCCTAACTCCTGTTCCACGGGCAATTATTGTATTGAAGATTTGTGTTGTATAACGATCTGTCGCATTGTTATTGCATTGACAACTCAGCCATTCTCCTTTTGGTGTGTGGAAGAGGCTATGGCGCACTACACCAGTATCAAGAGTTTTGGGCTGAGCTTCCCCTAGGTCTACTCAGCCTTAAATGAGTACTTTGTGCGGGGTGTGTATGTATGTGTGAACATTAAGCATCAGCGAAACAAAAACTGTTGGGCACGTGTGGCGCCGGCCAAATCACCCCCCCGCCTAATGTGCCGTGCTGACCTTAGTAGGTGCTCATGAATGGCACTTACCCTGACAGCTTGCAGTACAGTGTGCTGAACAGTCCATGTTTGTGTGTCACCATTGCTAACAAATAACACGGTCCAAAATGTATGCCAAGACGAGCATCGCCCAGTATATACTTCCAATGTTCGTTGCACACTAAATGTAGAATTTCCAAATTTTTACCTCGAATTACCACAAAATGATACTAATTTTATCGACTCCATAGAGGTGAGTTTGATGATTGTGAGCGAGTTTACTCCTGATAGGGATTCTGAATGGGCAAACTTGTAAGAGCTTTAAGCACCACGCCGCCCTGTCTGATAATTAAATTGCCCTAATTAGTATTGCTAAAACGGTGCTGTGTGTTGCGTGGCCAGGTTTTATTTAGGTGCCTGTTTTGTGTGTGATCGATTCGCCCGCTCATTGTGCTCCCTGAAATCTCGGGCTTGTGTGTGCATGCCTGCTTGTAGGCGTATATATATCTACGCTCACGAAGAGTGCTTGCCACAACAGCCTGTGTGGTATATACGGGGGATCTTTGTCTTTGTACCTGTCAGTGTGACCTAGTGATAAGTGCACCCCGCTGCAAGCATTACGAAGCACGTTAGATTCCCGCTTGCCGCTGACGTTAATGTCGAGTGATATCCGACCCTGTCCTGGGATTTCCCTGGGTCGACTTAGCATAAGATATGTACCTGGTGCGCTGTGTTAAACGCATAAGCACTGGGGAGACAAAACGTCTTGGCTTGAGGCTTGCCACACCACTTTCATGTCTGCACTGCCAAATTTAATCGGTGTTGGCAAACAGCATTTACCATAACTGGCCGCAAGCATAAGTGTGGATCTTTTACTATGTGGGTAGAGAGTGGAAGCACAGTGATTAATATATTGTGATTTGATTCCTGGTTACAGCGTAACATCAGTGCCAAATTATATCTGACCTGGTTCTGGGCCTCCGCGAAGTCAACTGAGCCTTCAGTGAGTACCTAGTGCAGTGTGTAAGAACATCAACACTAGGAATGCAAAGGTGGTTTGGTGTGTTTCTGACCACACCGCCCCCTCGTAGGCTGTGCCCACCGTCATTGTTGCTCACTGTAACAGCACTTGCCGCAAGCAGCTATACAGGTGAACTTTGTATGTGTCGATGCATACAAATGTAGCCAAAGTGTTTGGGTGGGAGGCGGCTTCCAGCTTTTGAATCCATAAAAGCCTTGTCTGCCACGTGAAGTCCCATTGGCAAACCCTCTCCACTCCATGTGGCGTCACATGGGCACCTAGCCTGCCAAACATATTGTGGTGATGCCAGCGTTGCCTTGTGGTGAATGACTGTTGTGTATTCATGTGTGGACATGTGTACAGAACTTTCCCCAATAGCCTTTTATAGGCTACTAGCAGGAAGTACCCGGCGTTGCCCTGGGCGAAAAATATATTTCAAAACTTATCTTAAAAACCTTACATATGCATACACAGATACTAAGGTATTGTGACAGCCCGGTGGGCCGTTTGTCCATTTCTCCACCAACAAAATTATAAGAGGCTTGCACAAGTCCAAAAAGTTATAGAAAGTGTGGGGTAAATAGTTGATCTCAAAGGTTTCCAAAAATTGTCGAACCCCCCCTCAAAAAATATCTTTACCCCCGCGAAGGTATATATACCTACAGACCCTACATGCAATAGAGTAAGTAGTATCTATTGACTCTGTAGTTGTATCTATTGACTGTACAGTAGTATCTACTGACTGTAGTAACTACTGACCCTAGTAGTATCTACTGACCTACAGTAGTATCTACCGACTCTATAGTAGCAACAACTAACTCTATAGTAGTATCTGCTGACTCTATATAGTAGTATCCACTGACTATAGTAGTAACTACTAATGCTATAGCAGTATCTACTGACTCTACAGTAGTATCTACTGGCTCTATAGCAGTAGCTACTGACCGTAGTGGTATATACTGACTGTTTTAGTGTCTACTAACTCTATATAGCAGTATCTACCAACTCGATAGTAGTATCTACTATCACTACAGCAGTGCATACCGACTGTGGTCGTACCTGCTATCACCACAGCAGTGCATACCGACTGTGGTGGTACCTGCTGTGATAACAGCAGTGCATACTGTGGTGGTTCCTGCTTTCACTACGTTCCTGCTTTCACTACAGCAGTGCATACTGACTGGTGGTACGTGCTATGATTACAGCAGTGCATACTGACTGGTGGTACCTGCTATGATTACAGCAGTGGATACTGACTGGTGGTACCTGCTATAACAGCAGTGCATACTGACTGTGGTGGTACCTGCTATGATTACAGCAGTGGATACTGACTGTGGTGGAACCTGCTTTCACTACAGGAGTGCATACCGACTGTGGTGGTACCTGCTATGATTACAGCAGTGCATACTGACTGTGGTGGTATTTGCTATGATTACAGCAGTGCATACTGACTGTGGTGGTACCTGCTATGATTACAGCAGTGCATACTGACTGGTGGTACCTGCTATCACTACAGCAAAACATATTGACTGTGGTGGTACTTGCTTTAACTACAGCAGTGCATACCCACTGTGGTGGTACCTGCTTTCACGACAGCAGTGCATACTGACTATGGTGGCATCCTGCTATGACTAAAACGGTGCATACCGAATGTGATGGTACCTACTATGATTACAGCAGTGCATACCCACTTTGGTCATACCTCCTTTCACTACAAGTGTGCATACTGACTGTGGTGGTAACTGCTTTCACTACAGTGGTGCATACTGACTGTGGTGGTACCTGCTATCAAAACAGCAGTGCATATTGACTGTGGTGGTACCTGCTATCAAAACAGCAGTGCATACCGACTTTAGTGGTGCCTGCTTTCACTACAACAAAGCATATTGACTGTGGTGGTACTTGCTTTAACTACAGCAGTGCATACCGACTGATGGTACCTGTATGATTATAGCAGTATATACTGACTGTGGTGGTATCTGCTATCACGACAGTAGTACATGCTGACTATAGCAGTATATATCTACTTTATAGCACAAACTACTAACCTGACAGTGCCATGGTGAGGCCTAGTCCCGTGCAGAGCCCCCGGCCTTGCCTAGATTGCCCAGCCGGCGAGGCTGGGGGCTGGGCCGCTATCCCCCCCCCACCATCCCCCCGCCCGCGCTACAATACTACTATCTAAGCGCTATAATATTAGTATTTACCGACCTTATAGTAGTAAGTACACACATTGGGGTGGGGGGGATGAGAAGAGGACATGACACTTTGACGAATTTACCTCAGCGTTGCGTGTATTTTTTATTGCATTTTGAACGCGGAGAAATCCCCCCCACCCTCCACCGATGACTCGCGTGCGTTGCCAGGGGCAACTCCCGGGCAGCTTGGGTAGGGAAATATTTAAATTAAGAACAATCTCACTAAATAGCACATTTTACTACTTTTAAGTTGACGGATGGGAAAACGGAATAGCGCTGGCTCACCTAGGGGGCTTACGGCGTGGTACCCGGCTACTTTTTTTAAGCGTAAACTCCACAGTTCGCGAGCCAAATCTTTCGCAAGTTGCGTCCACACAGTCAGACAGATGGACAGACGGACGGACACAGACATAAAAGCCTTTTTTCGGTAAGATACAGGGAATCTTTTGTCTTTGTGTGTATATGGGGAGCATTGGCACATTTATAGTGCACTGCACTACGAACGCAGCATCCCGAGTTAGATTCCCGCTTATGGCCAACATCAGTGGCAAATGTCTGAACCAGTCCTGGGCTCCCCTCGACCTACTCAGCCTTAAATGTGTGCCTAGTGTGGTGTGAAAATATCAGCAGTTGGGAGATAAAGGTGGCGGCACGTGGTACTGGCCAGCAGCACTTGCCCTAACAGCCTCTGTTCGGCCTACACATGGCATTTTGTCAATACGTGTGCATGTGTGTATGTGTAATTTTGTGTTGCTGGTGTGTGCAGGAAAGCAGAACGTGGTGATCATGGGACGCAAGACGTGGTTTTCAATCCCCGAAAAAAAACGTCCGCTCAAAAATCGCATAAACATCGTCCTGAGTCGGGAGCTGAAGTACGTGCTTGTAGTGTAAGAGCATCAACAACAACGTCGTCACCATCATCATCGCTATGATCAAAGGCATTGTCATCACCATCGTCATCGATACCATTGCCATCATTAATGTCATCATCATTCTATGGTCATGAATCACCTATCGTTCATGTCATAATTTTCAATGTTTGTGTCATCAACATTGGTGTCGTGTTATTGGCAGCAGCTTAATTTTTTTTGTTCAGGCATTTTAATCATCGTGGTGCTTGTCATAATGAAAGTATCAACATTGTTATGATCGTAGATGTCATCGTTAATTATTCTCATTCATCATCACTGTCAGCATCATATCCATCATTATGGTCGTTTTGGGTAGAAATAGTGGGAACTTCATTATTGCCATTTTATATTTTAATTATCATCTTCATTGTCATAGGATTCAACATTATTGTCATTTTCAGCATTAGGATTATCAGTATCGCCATCATTGTCATCAATGTCATCTTTACTATTATGCAATGATCACCACCACCAACAATATAACCACAACAGTCACCATCGTCAGCTTTTTATATAATGTGCTATCGACAGCACAGGACTCGACCCAAGTCTGCAGCCTAAGGCAACACGTGGGATACTCGCCGAGTGTGTATACGTGAGCGTGTGAATGGGCTCTTGTGCGTACACACACGGCTCGAGAGAAGTGGCTGCCAATGAGACAGATTGCAGTGGTTCAGTGGGTCAACTCCCACCCCTGTGAAGACATTAATATGGAAGCATGAATTTCTCTGCAAATAGGACATTAATAATAAAAGCCCTTTACAGTTTTTTTTTCCCATTCGCTGAGCATCAAAGCATATTTCAGGAAGCTCCCTTCTTTGAGATGTTTGGCCAGTGCCACTTTTTTTTATCTTTATTTCCACTTTTAGTACAATCGTGCTATCTGCGTCATGCCAAGCGACAAAGTGTGCAGATGTCACAGAACCACTTCTGAGATCCCATCAAGTGACCTCTCCTCCCACCCAGCCTGCAACAGAGAATGATGTTCGTCACGTGAGTGAAACAGATATTTTTCATTCTCAGAGCTGGTATGTAGCAAAACCAAAATTATTGGTTTATTTGCACAAACATCTGTAGCCTGGGCTGGGACCAGTAGGTGACTGGGCTGAAACATCACAGCAGTTGAGAACCCAATTTCATCACAGGAAGCTGATATTCAGTACAGAAGTGAACCCAAGATCTCAGCAGCGCTAGCTCAGCCCCCCGTCCCCGAGATCCACCTCTATTTGGCCAATTTCAATCGGTGAGTGTTTTGCACTTGAGAAAGAAGCAGCAGTGCCTGGGAAAAACTCACAGCACATACAAGGGGGTGACGTGTAAAGCGCTGCACAGATATATGAAAGGATCCATTTCTATACTGAAAGCTCCTGGCCACCGCACAGCCACCATGGGATGAAACCCACATGCAAAAACAGTACCCGAAGGAAACCCACGCCTTCGTGGAAATAACACGCCAACGTCTACATAGGCTTGGTCACGAACCTGCTTGCTGTACTGCCATCTCCTGGTCGCCTTGCAACCTTAGCAGGCTGAGAGTCGCAGGGTATATGATGATCTTTGTGTGCGATCCACGAACCCCACCTCGGTTAGCACCAGATTGCAAACGAAGGCCATCATTTATCCCTCTCTTTAAGACCGAAGCAGGAGGATTTCTCCACAACTCTGACTGCCAACATGATTATGCTCGTTGTAATTACTGGCAAAACGTTGTACTCGAATTGTAAGTCTTGTGGGTTTTACTTTCCAACACACCGGTGGGCTGAACTAGTAATGAACTGGCATGTTTTGTATACGTGACAAACGTTACTCATTGGCTGTGTCGGATGGTGGTGGGTTCAACGAAACATTTATACTGGTAGGAACCTCCTGGTTACACCAGCCCACAGGGGATTATTGTGTCCGTCCGTCGTGCATACAAAAATGGGAGGGGCTGAGTGGAGAGGGTGGGGAGGGGCTGGGTAGGGAGGGGCTGGGCTGGGTGGAGAGGGGCTGGGTGGAGAGGGGCTGGGTGGGGAGGGTGGGGAGGGGCTGGGTGGAGAGGGGAGGGTGGGGCTGGGTGGGGAGGCGCTGGTCACCCCGTGGTGCCCTTATAAAACTCAACGTGTAACCTACTCACGCCGGCTTGTGCCCACCCTCACAGTCGGCCATATTGCGGAATACACCACAGCCGCAGTTGACCCTGGCCATTGACCGAGCAACCCAACGTTCCTACCAGCTCCCTCCGCAAGAATGTGTTATATACACGCTCTAACCCAAAAACCTCGATTATGGATAAGGCCACCATGCATGGCAAAACTCCCTGTACTGCCGTCGTTCGCAAGGCCATTCTGTTCCCGCACACGAAACTGAATTTGCAAGATTTTGCGCGCGGCCTACATTTGCTACAAGCTGTGAAAACATAATGCAAAGCTGGTCCTGAATATTAACACCTCTGGTCCACAACCCCCATCTAGCAATAGATAGACCATGGCTGATGATGAGATTGTCAGTATTAGATTCTTAAGTGTACAATTGGATATATCATGAGAATAAGAATTGATTTTAACTGAGGAATAAATCTTTAATTAACTGCTGCCTTACCCATCCATGCGTTCACTTTCACATTGCACTGCTCGAGTTTCTGACTCAGAATCAGAATATGTATTTGTAGTGGAGGAATCCGATGAGCTATGAAGCTCTTTTTTGCAGATGTACAGTAGGGGTGGGTAAGAACGTTACAACGCAAAAACATGATAGTGGTGCAAAGTACAAGAAAGGTAAACATTACCCAAAACATACAGTAAAACCTTGGATTGCGAGTAACTTGGTCTGCGAGTGTTTTGCAAGACGAGCAGTTTTTTTAAATTAATATTAATTTGATAAACGAGCGAGGTCTTGCAATTCGAGTAGTACGTTGCATACGCTTTGTCTGCTGAGCGTCACGTGATCACAACTGATATACGAGTGCTTTGATATACGAGTGCTTTGGATTACAAGCACGTTTCCGAAACGAATTATGCTCGCAATCCAAGGTTTTACTGTACTAATGAAACTAAACCATCCCCAACTTATTTTCCAGAAGCGACCTGGCCACAAATGATAGCTCAACAAAGTGGCTTCTCATTTGGACATTTAGGGGCCGTCCATAAACGACGTCACGCGATTTTGGACGATTTTTGACCCCCCCCCCCTCGTCACACGGCGTCACAAAAAAGACCCCCCCCTAAAATATGACGTCACAAAGCGCTGCCCCCCCAAATCTTTTTTTAAACATGCTTCAAATCGCTTTCAATTATTGTCATTGTAGTGCGTATTTAATGTGCCGCTGCACTCTGATGTTGTAGAAGAAAACATCAAAAAGTCTATTTAATTAAGTAGAACGTGTTGTCTATATTTATTTAAAGTTGCGCATTTTGATGTGACGACACATTTCTCAAACCCCCCCCTCTGTCACACATCGTCACAAATGTCTGACCCCCCTCCCCCCAGGTGCGTGACGTCATGGACGGCCCCTTATATCACCAATATAATTTCAGCATCCTGAGATGTTATTGCATTTTGACATTTTCTAATCATAAAGCATTGGGGAGTGGTGGCGAAGAGGTTTGCTCACAGCGCTGGGAAACTGGCAACCTGAGTTTGATTCCCGTCCACCGCTAACATCAGTGAAGAGAGATATCTGAACCTCTTCTCCCCCCCCCATCGCTCCACCATGTATGTTGAACTCATTTCCCACCGTGAGTAGTCAACTGCACTAATCAGAGGTTAACATCTCAAAATGATCAGCGTGGTGGAGTACACGGTTAAACAACTCCCATGAATGATATTGTGTGGCGAGGCCTTCATCCATCAGTGGGTTTTTAATGGCCGTAAATTATTTACAATTGCATTAATAATGCCCTTTATATAGCCATGAAAAGCCTCGCTCACTAAGTCTCATGAACACTTCAGAGGGGTCCTGTCATTGAGCATGCGTGACCGATTCCACGAATGAGTTTAGGCTTCATATTAGAGGAAACCTGAGCATCTGTAAAAAAAACCCCACGAGATGGGTCGGGGTAAACACTACTTAAAACTCCGCACCGATAGATTCAGGATTCCATCACTGCATGGCCATCTCTTGGCCACCTCACAGCCCAAATTGAAAAGAAACTCTGTTCAACCGTCGCACGTTTCTCGTTTAAGTGCGATACCCTCGGTGCAGGTCTCTACGAGCTTCTGCTCTGACCGCATAAAGAAAAACGGCCGCCGGGAGGCAAAATAATTGGCACACGGATGATGAACGAAGGAGGTGCAGCGGAGGCTCCGGGGTTTCTGTCCTCCGTGTCGTCTGAGCAAATCCTCTCCAGCGAGCCGAGCGATTTTATTTAAAAGCATTTATTTCATTTTATTAATTTTGCGGCATGCTTATAAAAAAAAAACGACAGATGCTGTGGGATGGTGCACGCTGGGAATTGCGGCTCGTTTTCTGCCCTCGTGTGACGAGAGTTATCGTCGAGTATTTTTAGGCACGTTTGTAAAAAATTTAAGGCCATCTCCAAACAGATGCCACTCGCTCTCTCTCTCTCTGCCCTCGGCAACGCACCGCCCTCTCCCTGCCTTCATGTCACTGCCTACCCAGCATATATGGCTTAACTATGCGGTGTGTAGTAATACCGCGCACATGTTCGCCATTGTACTGTGTAGCTCTCCGATGTGTTTTTCTGGTTGTGCCGGTGGTTTGTCTGACATTTCGTTCCACGTTCTGTGAACGGAATTACATTCCTGAAGCTGAGTTGAGGCTGATCCAGTTGCTGGAGAAGCTCCTAGTACGCTGTTCTTCATTGCAAGGCCCGCGGGCTACTGGTTGTCCCCCCTTGGTGGCCTTTCGTGTGGTGCCTGACGTGCGGCCCCCCACAATACACAAATCTGAACACACCCCTTGCAGGCGGTGTGTACTTAATAATCATGGAGGTGCTCATCCAGCAGTGGAATTACAAAGC